CCCCAGCGGCCCGTCCCCAGGTGTTGCAGCTGCGCCCCTGGGCCTTATCCGCTGCGGGGTGGGGAGCTCACCGCGGCCCCTTCACTCCAGGAGCTTCCCAGGCGGTGGCTCCTGGGCTTTGGCGAGGACAAGAAGTGACTTTACGGCACCAAGGAGTCCTTTAGGTGACTTCTAAAGCAGCAATTGCCTTAGGAATGTCAGTTGCGTGCTAATAAGGGTTTCTTCCACATAGTTCTGGCCCTTTTTTTGTTGCCTTCCACCACGCAGTTAAAGTAATAATGAATAGAGAATCACATTAGGGTCCACATTGTTCTATGTATAGAATTCCTTCGAATGCCACGGATCCAAGAGCACCATTTTTCCACTCGTTTAATTTACCTGCATGTTTGATGGCTCCCCTTCAAAATCCTGATCATAGCAAGTTTGTGCTCTGTGTAAAGCAAATTAAATTCATTACTCTTCCCATGCTCTTCAAGTAGCACTTGTTTCCAGACCAAAGCAAATAGCTTTTGCACATTTAATGTTTTGTTATCCTGAGTGAAAAATCAGTGTTATTTCAAGCCCTTATATTTTCGCTAGACTTGTGGGGGGTTTTAATTGTGTTAAAATACACATAACATAAATTTACCGTTTTTAAATATACAGTTCAGTGGTATTGAGCACACTCACATTGTTGTGCAACCATCACCACCATCCATCTCTGGAACTCTTCATCTTGAAAACTGAAATTATACTGTCAACGCTCTAGTTTTCCCTCCTCCTAGCCCCTGGCAACCACCGTTCTACTTTTGGTCCCTATGAATTTTAAAATCCTATGAAGCATCCATCTTATATAAAAACTGCTGTTTGAAATTTTAACCCTGCTATTTCTGGCTTCTGTAAATGCTCGCTGGCTTACATAATAAGGAAAATAAGACTACTCCCATTTCAGAGAGGCCATTAAACCTTCCCCAGACGAAGTTATCAGTGCTGGCAACATGCCAAGCCTTTGGTTGAGGTCTCAAAGCCCCAGCACATAGGGCCCTTTAAGAACTTGGAAAAGGAACCGGAAAAATCCTATATTTGGGAGACAAAGAAGGTAAAATAGTATAAATATGGGAAACTTCCTGTGTGATTTCACCCAGAATTTGAGAGACATTTTCCTATGGGCCCGTGCGTAATAAGTGTAACTCCATCTCTCTAAGCATTGCATGGTTCTTCTCCGGTTTTTTCTATAACACCTAGGTAACTCATTTAAGTGAAGTCACACAATATATGTTCCTTTGTGACTGGCTTCACTTAAACATAATGTCCTTAAGATTCATCCACGCTGTAGCATGTGCCAGAATTTCCTTTTTTTCTTTTTAAGGGCTGAATAATATTCTATTATATGTATGTACCACTCTTAATATGCCTACTATCACTAAGGTTGCTTTCCACCTTTTGGCTATTGTAAGCAATGCTGCATGTTCATGGCAGTGTTTATAGGGTGTTCAATATCTCTTTGAGACCTTGCTTTCAATTTTTGTGTGTATATATACGGAGAAGTACAATTAATATCATATCATATGGTAATTCCATTTTTATTTTTGTGTGCAACCCCCATACTGTTTTAAATAGCAGCTATGGACTTAGTTTTTATTTTTTTATTATTATTTTGAAAGTATATTTTTATTGATCTCAGAGAGGAAGGGAGAGGTAGAGAGAGAGAAATACTAAAGATGAGAGAGAATTATTGATTGGCTGCCTCTTGCACTCCCCCTACTAGGGACTGAGCCTGCAACCTGGGCATGTGCCCTTGACCGGAATCAAACCCGGGACTCTTCAGTCCACAGGCCGATGCTCTATCCACTGAGCCAAACCAGCTAGGGCTGGACTTGTTTTTAAAATCTGGGTTTACATGTGGGGATCTGTCTAACTAAATAAAGACAATTTGCTCAGACTGGTAGGGTTCTAAACCGCCCAGATTATTCACCTCAATTAAGTACCTCAGATAGTTTTCTGTTCCTAATACACAAACAATTGCATGCCCTTGGACTGTGGTTAATACATAGTTTAATGTCTGATTGACAGCAATTGCAAATATTTTTATCACAGCCATGCAGTAAAAAATTCAAACCTAAACTTTTAATTTTTGTATAACTTAAACACTGTCTTCTCTGAGATTTTGGCCCAACTCCTCGTAAATGAGTGTGGAGGGAAAGCATTCACATTTCTTTGGCCAATAGTTGGATCTGAGGTCAGAGATCTGCATTGGAACAGCAGAGACTGTCTCCGACTCCTCCCCTTACCTACTTTCCTCTCCTCAAAGGCAGTCATCTCATCTTTCAACTGGTTATTTAGATACTAGTACTTACCGTCCTTTCTCTACATAAACTATTTGTATTTCTATTTCTTGGTTTTTCACTTTTAGATATTATCTATTGACTTCACTTAATGAAAATTAAGGATTTAAGTGGATAGAGCGTCGGCCTGCGGACTGAAAGGTCCCAGGTTCGATTCCGGTCAAGGGCATGTACCTTGGTTGCAGGCACCTCCCCAGTAGGAGGTGTGCAGGAGGCAGCTGATTGATGTTTCTAACTCTCTATCCCTCTCCCTTTCTCTCTGTAAAAAAATCAATAAAATATATTTAAAAAAAGAAGGGTTTAGCTCTTCTTACTTCCCCGATTCCATCCCTCCACCCCATCACACTTCCCATCATCCCTTTATATGCCTAAAATAGATTTGTTTTTACTACATTGTAATTACTCACATCTTGGGCAAAATGGTACTGTATACTATGATTACTCCTCCTGCTCAGTTTATTTTGTTTTTCCTGCAGATATTGAGATAGATGAGGTATTCTATCAGTTTCATGACTCTGAACCCTTCTGACCTGCACCAGCCTATGTCTAACGCACAGTTGTCAGGACATCGCTTCTTTTTTTTCTCTGTGTTGTATTTTCTTTTTTTAGTTTTAATATATTTGATTGATTTTTTAGAGAGAGGGGAAGGAAGAGGGACAGAGAGATAGAAACATCGATGAAAGAGAATCCTGTGTTGTATCTTCTGTTTCCTATATCCTATGTCTTCTTTTTCTTTGTTTAGTCCTTCATTTTAGTGGAGCACAATCTCCAGTAGCTTTCTGAAAAAAGGAGTAAATGAAACGGACATTTTTTGAGATCTTGAATGGCTGAACATACCTTTATTCTTTACCCACATTTGATTGGTAGTTTACTAGTAATTAAGCAAAAAATTCCAGTTTGAAATAAAATTCTCTTTGAAGTGGATAGAATTGCTCCCATGATTTCTAGCTTTCTTTGTGACTGTTGAGAAATTGAAAAATATCCTGAGTCTTGATCCTTTGTTTTTCTCTCTGAAAGCTTAGGGCTGCCTTTTTGCCCCCAGTGTTCTGTAATTTCACAACGATGAGCCTTGGGATTAGTCAACTTTTATTCATTGTGCTGGGCATGCAGTGGGCCCTTTTAATTTGGAAACTTTTAGTTTGGGAAACATTTTCTTGAATTATTTTGTCGATGATCACTCCTTCCCTAATCCTTGTTGGTTTTTTCTTTTGGAACTCTTTATTTCTCAGATTTTGGAGCCCCTGGAGTGGTCCTCTAATTTATTATTTATCTCTTATTTTCATTTCTTTGCCCTTTTGCTTTTTGCCCCCTAAGATATTTCCCATCTTCCAACTCTTTTATTGAACTTCTCATTTCTGCTATCATATTTTTGTCTCTGAATGTTTCTTCTTTTTTTTCTTACCCTCACCTGAGGATACCCCCCCCCCCCCCGCCATTACTTTTTAGAGAGAGTGGAAGAGAGGGAGAGAGAGGGAAGGAGAGAAGAGGAGAGAGAGAGAGAGAGAGAGAGAGAGAGAGAAACATCAATGTGAGAGAGACACATCGATTGGTTGCCTCCCGCCCAAGCCGTGACCTGGCAGGGGATCGAAGGTGCAACCCAGGTATGTGCCCTTGACTGAGAATGGAACCTGCGACCCTTTGGTGTGTAGGCCCAAGCTCTAACCACGTAGGCACACAGGCCATGGCTGAATGCTTCTATTGAAACAGTAATCTGTTATTGTTTTATGGTTGCAATGATATTTCATAACTCAGGATACTGATATAATTTTTTAAAAAAGTTTTCTC